CTCTCTCTCTCTTTTACGGTCTAAAATCGATTGTAGAGGGAGAAAAACCTTTTTTAGTTTTAAAGTCTGCAGACAGCAGAGGGAAACCTTTAAAGACTTTAAAGACGAAGAAAAAGAAGAAAAAGGCTATAAATTCAGTGATTAGCTCACTTTAGCAGCTGTTTTTAGCTCAGCTAGCCTGGCTCAAAGTTGAGCAGCAAGCTCATTTCGAAACACATTTTAGAACAACAACAGAACAATCTCTCGTTAAGAGTTTTTTTGAGAGACACTTTCACACAAAACTATGAAATGAAAAAGAGGAAAACTATGACTTACCTTTCGCCTTCTGCTCCTCCTTCTGATGTTCTTCTTCAAGCAACCGATTTGCCCATCCAGAAACCGCTGAAGATAACAACACAAACTCTTCACCGCCTTCACTGGCCAAAGTCAAAGTGGGGAGAAGATGGGCAGAATCGTCAGAGCAGCATCTTTGCCGATAGTCCCAAGCACACCGTCATCATGGGCGTTCCGCTCTGCCCTCTGGGCCGCTTCCTGGTCAGCCTGGGGCTCTTCTACGGAGCACTTCGCTTCATTGGTTTTGTCTTTTTAGAGAAGAAAAGAGGTGGTGGTGGTCCGCTGAAGGGCGGAAAACCGACCATAAAAGTCACCGTGCCGACGTACTTTGTGGAAGACCACGCGGCCACCGGAGGAGGAGTGGTCCATCTGCTGCACGCCCACCCGATGATGGTTTCGCTGGTGGTGACGCTGGCTGGCCTCTGTTTGGTGATGATGTTGTTGTTGTTCTTTTACAGAAAAAGTGAAGAAAAAGTTCCAAGGTTGAAGAAGAAGAAGAAGAAGAAGAGTGGTGGCAGAAGAAGGTCGGAGAAGAGAACCGCTGGGCAGCAGCAGGGCGTTCTAGACTAGGGCGTCAAAACACTAGAAAATGGCGATTAACTTTGAGCGGCACTTTTTAGGATCGACAAAAGCTAAACAAAGGAGTTGATCAAAGTAAAATAAAAAACAAAAAAGCGCAAAAAAGTTCCGCCAAAATCAGTGTTCAGCAAAACAGTGTTCATAGACTACGTAACCCTTTCTTTACCAAATGTTATCACTTTTATCAATTTCAAAACAAAACTCCCAAATTCTAAACTTCTTTTTCTCCTTTCTTTTTTCTAGTTCGTCCAAAGATCCGCGTCTCCAACCAGGTGGTGGGCTCGATGCTGGGCAGCGACGTGCAGCTGGAGTGCCGGTGCGAGGCCAGTCCGACGCCGACCACCGCCTGGATCCGCTCCGATGGCCACCTGCTGACGCCCTCGGCGAAGTACCTGATGCGCGAGGAGCACGACTCCTACCGCACCAAGATGAAGCTGAAGATCGTCAGCCTCGACGAGAAGGACTTCGGCAGCTACAAGTGCGTGGCGAAGAACGCCATCGGCGAGAAGGAGGGCCTGGTGCGGCTGTACGGTAAGAGCTTGGAAAATGTTTTTTTAAAACTCCTTTTTTGTAACACTTCTTTTTCGAAATTCCCTCAGAAATGGCCCTCCCTTCGACGCCTTCCGGGGGAGGTGGAAATAGTGGTGGTGATCAGTCAGGAGGAGGAGGTAATGGCAATGGCCACAATCCCACCTTCACCTACTCCTACCAAGGAGGTCGAAATGGTGGAAACTTTTCTGATAACGTCTTTGGAGGAAACAACAACAACAACCTCTTTGATTCCGACTATCAGCAAGCTGCCTCGAGTGCAACTTCTTCTTTCCTTCTTCTTCAAAGTCCACANCTCAGAAATGGCCCTCCCTTCGACGCCTTCCGGGGGAGGTGGAAATAGTGGTGGTGATCAGTCAGGAGGAGGAGGTAATGGCAATGGCCACAATCCCACCTTCACCTACTCCTACCAAGGAGGTCGAAATGGTGGAAACTTTTCTGATAACGTCTTTGGAGGAAACAACAACAACAACCTCTTTGATTCCGACTATCAGCAAGCTGCCTCGAGTGCAACTTCTTCTTTCCTTCTTCTTCAAAGTCCACACTTTGTTTTAGTTTTGCTCACGACGATAGGCTCGTTGAGCAGGACTCTGCTTCGGTGGTGGATTACTTAGCCAAAGTTGTACGAAAAGTGAAGTTTTCTTACTTTTGAAATTCTGCTACATCTTTTGTACACTTTGCCGCCGCCATTTCATCATCATCATCATCATCAAAACCACTACCTTGCTGGAAATTTCCACTCCCCACAAAAAACAAAAAATGTCAACTTTGTCCCATTTCCCTTTCTCTAACTCCCAAACAACTGAATACCAATAGCCTCGATTGTGATAACTCTCTTTTCTCAATACAATACCAATACCAATACAATACAAAACACCTTGACCACTAGCTCCAGGAAAAACACATTTGTACAAAGTAAACACATACCTGAAACTCCTCCCGTTGTTGTTGTACCAATACCAATTTCTACTACACAAATTTCACTGTGAAAAACAAAACAACTGTACAAAAAATAAAAACAATCACTACATCAAAACTTTCAAAAAACTGAATAATTTTATTGTTTATGAAAACGGCAGTCTAATCAGTTTCGATTTCGAACCCCACTCTAGGTACTGCCACTCACCTGCGGCCGTGACCCACCGGGATTGCTGGGGTCACCGGGCAGAGGAGCGGGCTTCAGGTTGCAATTGCTCTCAAATTGGGTCTGCTTAGTTGGGCCCACGCAGGAGCTAGGTCCAACCGGTTTCTGACAACAACACGGACAACAGGGACAGCAGGGACAACAGGGACAGGGATTACATGGACAAGGATTACACGGACAAGGATTGCAGGGACAGGGATTGCAGGGACATGGGTTACATGGGCAGGGATTGCACGGGCAAGGACCACAACAACAGCCCAAGGTTTTATTGCCCGGCTCTGAGGCTCCAAGGCTCACATCAGTTGATGAAGAGTTCTTCTGCTGTTCATTCGGCGATTCGGCAACAATGGCAGCATTACTGGGAATCGAAGATAAGTTGATCAGCAGCAGCAGCAAAACAAAAGGAAAAAGTAGGCTAAAGTGAAAGTTCATTTTTTCAGAAGCTATATTGTGTTTACAGATTGAAATCCAGATAATCTGACATCTGATTTGAATAAAAAATTGGTTTTTATATTTTTTTTCAGTTGAACAGTTAAAATCCTTGATCTAATTTCTAATGCAAATTAAATGGGGAAAGACACTTGAATAAACCGGCCACTAGATTAAGATTAGGATTGGATTGACTGCACTGAAGGCTGTTTAAATTGCCAATCGCTCAATTGGGATAACCTACACAGGATTTAATAATCAAGGCTAATTCACTGATAGGCAATTTAAGTAAATAGATCTGGTTGCTTTGCTAAAACAAAAAAGTTTGGGCAACATTAAAGCGCAATTGACTGTGAAATTGAACAGAAAAAAATAAAATACACAGAATTATTCTGTAGAATATTCTTCTGCAGCTTTTTGAAACGATGCTGACATCTAGTGCTCCNAAAAAGTTTGGGCAACATTAAAGCGCAATTGACTGTGAAATTGAACAGAACAAATAAAATACACAGAATTATTCTGTAGAATATTCTTCTGAAGTTTTTTGAAACGATGCTGACATCTAGTGCTCGAGAAAGAACAAATGAAAAAAAAACTCAAAAATATTTTGTACATTTTTCTTCGTACTAAAATAAACTTCAACCACATTAGTCACAATTACACAATCAAAATAAGGAAAAAAGTGTCACTAAAAAGCAAAAAAAATTACATCACTTTTTGATTATAACTTGGCTAAAAAGTCCCACAATATCTTAACCACCACCATCATCATCAGAAGGTCAAAGTTGAGCAACCACTTACTCCTACTGTTTCACATTATTAAATTTCAGGTAATAGTCAACAAAGTCCTCCTTCAGCCCAAAGCGCTCATAACATTTTCTAAGTGGTACCGTCCCTTGTGGATAGCTCCGCTTCGTTCGCCGCCCTCCAAGCTCCAGCGGCAGCACCTCCAGGCTGATGTACTCCGTCAGCTGCTCAGTCGAACTGGTAAAGACGACCGCCTGGCGAATCGAGGGCCTCAGGCAGGTGGCGATGATCATCTTGAGGACCGGCTTGAGGAGGTAGGGCACGTTGTGGAGGATAATTCGCCGGGCCAGCAGAGGATAGTGATCATTGAGAAGTTCGACGCGGAACTTCGCCAGGCTGACGTCCAGGCTGGTAAGTGGCGTTCCGGTGAAGTCCCCCAGATAGCACATTCCCTCCTTTTTATCATTTCCACCCGTTCCAAAGGTGATTCGATCCATTGTTTCCATGGAAACGGCGACCAGCCGCTGAAAAGCCGTCTCTAGCTGAGCGAATCGTCGCTGCCGCTTGAAGCTTTCCATAAAGATGGGCCGTCCATAGAGGTCGGAAAGGTCACCGCCACCGTTTAGCTTTTCAACGCCATAGAGGTGGTAAAACTCGCTGGGAAAGTCCGCCTCGGTGGAGGTGTGAACGCCTCCAAAGGAGGCCTTCCAGGTTAAGGTTCGAATTAATGCAGAGTAGGCGACGTCCACGTTTCCGTTCGCCTCCAGCAGGTATCGTTCTATTTGCCAGTCCTCACCTTTCACCCGTTCAATGTCGACTGGGTGAAAGCTTTGATGATGGCCGCCTGCTGAAGTTTTCTTTTGAAGTTCAGCTTCGAAACGGGCGCGAATTTCCTGTATCTTGGAGTGCATGTTTATATTTTAAAAAAGTAAAGTGTTTGTGTGTTTAAATAAACAGCATTTTTCTGAGCGTTTAAATACCTGATGATGAAGGGCTCTACACTTTGGTGACTGGGTGTTGAAATGAGGAAAAGAAAAAGAGAGAAAATAGGTCTTTGAAGAGGATGTCGAAACAAGTGTGTGTGTGTTTTTGTTAGATTAGCTGTGTGGCTTATGTAAGGTTGGGCTGTCTTGGCTTACAACACCACCCAATTCATTTTAAAATGGCAAAAATTAATTTAGCTGATGATCAAAGTCGGCATCATATATTTCGCTGACCAATCTTCAAAAGCAAACTAACAATTTGTCACCGTGCAAGCAAGTTGTTCAACTGTAAACTGGCACTGTGTAAAACGGGCACAGCAAACAAAACGTTCAACAGATTGTCTCAGCTCAGCTGTCACAGACTGTGAATCACAACTCTTTGTGTCTGTTTCCTTTGCTGGTTGATTTTATCCCTCTCTCCTGTTTCGATTGTCTTATCTTCAAGCCAGGGAATACTCGCGTTGTCAGCTACACTCCGTTTCCAAGAAAGGCTTATCAAGAAGAGTGGCTAGAGTGCAGTGTGTGTGCAGAAAAGCAGCCAGCAACGTTTTGCCAACAGACGTTAGTAACTAACGGTTAGTTGCCGTCTGTTGTGTTTACGCCGTCTTCTGCTGCTGCCGTCTTCTCCTGTTTCTTCCTTTGCCTTGTCAACATCTGATCTGATCTCATCTCTCATCTCATCAGCAAATCCTTCTTCTTCCTTCAGGAGGAGCAAAAAATGTCGAAAGGTATGTCCGGTTCTTCTTTCTTTCTTTCTAGAACCGTCCTGTTCATCTAATGAACCCTAAACCTTTGGCCCTAGATTTCTCCATTCGTGCTCGGGGCGGCCCCTGCTCTGCCGGCTACCGCGGCCGCATCAGCCGTGGCCAGTACCAGTCCATGCGACAGGAGGAGGAAGAGAGACGACGACAAGCTGAAATCGAAGCCGAATATCAACAATTATCTTCCAGCAGCCGAGGCGAACGAACCCGTTGTCTGAGCGCTCCACCGCTGCCCGAAGACGGCTCGCTGGTGTCCTTGATCTGCTTCAGTGATGAGGAGGAGGAGGAGGAGAAGGAGAAGGACACTTCACCAGCTGCTGCTGCTCCAATGGCTCCAGTGGCAGGCAACGACGCTCAGCGACACTTTCCAGTCCATCGAGGAGGAGGAGGTGGGGGAGAAAGTTTTTACCAGCCATCTCCCAGACCACAACCTTCTACAACATCAGCCAACAGCAACAGCAACAACAACCAGCGCTTCTTCACTGCTCGAAGTTTCGGCAATTCGAGAGGCGGCCACCATCAACAGCAGTTCGGCAACAGTAGCAGCAGCTCTCCAAACTGGCGAACTCCTCGTAACGAGAGCGACGCCCTCAACAGCAGCAACAACAACAACAGCCCTGGAGGAGGTGATTTCTCAAAGCAAGGTCCTCCCAGCCACTCCTTTACCGCCCCCTTCAGTCGAGGTCGACCTAATCGACGATTTCCAAGAGGTCCCTTTAGAGGAGGCAGTTCACGAGGCCGTGGCAGAACTCCTTTCGGGACGCCCAACTCCACAGTTACCAACAACCACTCAAACTTCAACTCCCCCGCCTCCTCCTGCTCCTCCTCAGGAGGGCGCCAATCGGCGTTCTCGCTGGCGCCCGTGGAGCGCTTCAAGGACGCCCGGGCGCCGCCGAAGCGCTGGGCCGTCTACTGCTTCGATGACTTTGAGACCTCGAGCAAAGCCGTGGCCAGGGACGAGCAGCTGCGCCGCTTCACCGATCTAATGATCAAGCAGGCGCACTTCTTCGGCATGCCCTTTGGGCGGCCCGTGGAGGTGAAGGCGGTGCTGGTTAGCCGGCTGGACGTGCTGGAGCACTTCTTCGCCGAGCTGGAGCTGAATGCCCTCGAGCTGGTCTTTCTCGGCATTGCGCGCTGTAAGTGCTGACATTGTGGACCTGTCTTTTGTTTACAACATTTTCACCTCTCTTTTTCCCCTTCCTTTTCGAAGCCTACGAGAGCATCCCCGACACCGCAACCGTCTACAATCTGATCAAGGAGCGCGTGGACGACCGCCTGGGCGTCATCTCCTGCTGCTTCAACGCCGACTACGTCCAGCGGCCGCCCTATGCCTACTTCAACAACTTCCTCCTGAAGGTGAACGCCAAGCTGGGCGGGGTCAACCAGGTCCCGGTCGATGCGGCGGAGTACCTCGCAGAGACCGCAGACACCGCCCACCTGGCGCCCCGGCTTGCTGGGACAGAGCAGCAGCAGGACCAGAAGAAGGCGGAGATTATGTTTGTGGGCGTGGTCACCCATCAGGTGACCTTCACGGAGGGGACTCATTCTCTGGACGTCTCCATCAGCGCTGCCGTCGGCTCGCGCGACCCCGCCCACTTTGCAAAGTACACCTCGGCGGTGCGCGTTCAGCCTCCGGCCACCGCCGTCCTGCACGTGGACGCCATGGTGCGCGAGCTGCTGGCGGAGTACCGCGCCGACAACGAGGGGCGCCTGCCCACCCACCTGGTCCTCTTCAGAGACGGCGTACGGCGGGCGGGTTTTGCCCACCTGCACGAGCTGGAGCTCGCCCACCTGCGGCGGATGCTGGCGAAGGTGGTCAGCCAACAGCAGGGACAGGGGCAGCAACGCCCACAGCCGATCAAGTTGTCGGTGGTTGTGGTGCAGAAGCGCTTCAACTTTAAAAGTGCTGGTGGTGGTGGTGAAGAAGAAGGCGGTAAAGTTCCCGCCGCCGCCGCCGCCCCCGAAAATCTTTCCCAATGCCGCCGCCGCCCGCCGCCCTTTCCCAGTGAGGTGGTCATTGACGAGGAGGTGACCGACGGCGATGAGGACGTCTTTGACCTCTCTGGGCGGCACTTTTTTAATAGCAAGGTGAGAAAGGAAGGAAAAATGTCATTTTAACAATTTTTGTAAAAACTTTTTCCATCCCTAGGACAAGGAGCAAATGACGCGCTTTATTGTGCTGCCTAAGGAGGAGGATGAGGATGAGGATGAGGAAGAAGATGGCAGCCCCGCCAGCAACTTTACCCTGCGCCAGCTGCAGCACCTCGCCTACCTCGCCTGTCAGAATTACGCCCGCTCCACCGGCGGCGGCCGGCGGGTGGCGGACCTGCCCACCTCCATTCGCTACGCCCACCTCTGCGCCGCCCGGGCGAAGCTCAACGCCGAGGCGGGCTACCGGCAGATTGTGAAGACCATGGGAAGACAGCAGCAGCAGCAAAGCGCCGAGAGCATCATCAGCCAGCTCAATGACAAGGTGCAGCAGGAGAGGGCGGTGGCGAGGAAGCTCTACTACTTCTAAAGAGGAAGTTGTGGTAGTGGTAGTGTCGAAGAAGAAGAAGAAAAAGAAGAAGGTATCTAAAGCTACGTATTCGAATAATTTCCCCTCCCCCTTTCCTTGAAGTCCGGTTATCATAATCTTCTCCAGAGAACATTTATTCATTATTAGGAAAACTACCTCCTCCATCCCTTTCCCCATTGTCATCTGTAACCCCTTGTTTTTACAAACACATTAGTTTTTACTGTAAAACTCCTTTCTTTTTACTCCACAAAGTGGTCAGTAACAGCGCTCTACGGTTTGTTTTCGATTTTCCTTTACTTGTTGTGTTCTATTTTTTTCTTGCCGGCTATTTAACCCCGGTGCAAAGTTTGCCAGTGCTAAAGTTTGCAAAAGCTATGGCTGCCAAAGCTACGAAGAAGAAGAAGGTGAAGCAGCAGCAGCAGGTGAAGAAGGAGCAGGCAAAGCCTAAGGAAGCTAAACAGCAGCTCCAGCAAAAGGAGGTGCCCGTCTGGCGGTACATGAACAACAAGAACTACGGCAAGCACTACCTCTATCACGAGACACGGGAGAGCAGGGCCAGGAAGGAGGCGGAGAATAAGGAAAAGGAAAAAGAAGTTCAGCAAAAGAATGAGCTGCAGCAGCAACAGCCAAAGGTGCCCAGCTCCAAAGAAGTTTTGCCTGGGAAGAAAAAGGAAAATGAGGTCGATAAGAAAAAGTCTCCGAATAAAAAAGTGGACTTACCTCAGCAGACGAGCACCTCCTCCTCAAAAAAGGTAGAAATAGCCGAGGCCAAGCAAAATCAGCAGCCAAATGAGATGGCAAAGGAAGAGCCCAAAGTTTCCGTAGAAACTCCCAAATCTGACCAGAGTGCTGCTCCAAAGCCAAAGATGAAACCACCACCGGAAATGGACAAAATGCAGCAGCCCGGTGCTGCCGTCTTCATTCCCGACTCCATTGCCGTGGTCATCGGCTCCAACGCTGAAGAAGGAGGTGAAGAGGGCTCGAGGGTGCAGTTTGTGGAGATTGAGGAGCCGAGGAGCTCCAAAGAAGAAAAGACCACCTTTGCCGTGGTGAGCGAAAACTCCGCCGCCGTGGCCGGCGAACTGGGCGGCCTTCTCCAACAAGTTAAAAGGGAGATGGAAAAAGAAGAGGAGGAGGAAAAGGTTAAAAGCCGCCAGAAACAGGTTGGCCAGTGGCTGCTGGAGAAGATGAGGATGATGGGAAAGGGGCGTGAGCACCAGGAAAAGCAGCAGCAGCCCCAGCAAAACACCACTTCATCCCTCTTGGACAAGGTGCAAGACCTTCTGAAGGAGTACCAGCTGGAGGAGGTGGCCGAAGCCCTTCAGAAGGGCAAAGAACGCCTGAAACCTCACCTCGAGAAGACGGCTCAAAATTTGGCCATCTCGGCGGAGCTGGTCAAGCGGAAGGTATGTGTCTGCTTTTAGGAACAGTTTTGTGTGTGTTTTAATTACAAAAACCCTCTCTTCCTTAGATCAACACCACCGCCGAGCAGGTGCTCGCCGAGGGCCGTGCCCTGGCCGCCGACTGGGCCGACGGCGAGCAGCGGGCGCTGGCCGATCTGGTGCGGGCCCAGCAGGGCGCCGCCCGCTCTGCCCGCGCCCTCCTGGCGGCCCTAGGCCGGGCCAAGGTCGCCGCCGAGGGCGGCGCCATCAAGGTGGGCCGCGAGGTGAAGGCGATCACCGACGAGGCCTCGGCGGTGGTGCACGCCACCGTGGACGGCCTGGGTGGGCGGCTGCAGGCCCTCCGCCGGCAGGTGGCCGCGGAGAAGGCCAAAGTGGAGGCGGAAGTGGCCTCGATGACCTTCAATGGAAGTGAAAACTTCCCTCTCTTCAAGGTGGCCAACGAGCTGATCGGCTCAGTTCGCGACCTGGCCGCCGCCTCAAAGTCCATCGCCGGTGATGTGTTTGGTGGTGGTGTCGGCGTGAGAAAGGAGTGAATTAAACTGTCTTCCTTCCCTTCTCTTTTTGGGAGTTTATTTGGAGTTTATAACGTTCTCCTTCTCTTTCTTCTCTTTCACTTACCAGTGCCTCGGTAGTGCCACCGACGGACGAGCCAGCGACTTTGCAACGGCGGCGGCGAGTCGCAGGAGCTCGGCGAGCTGGCCTCAGCAGGATTTGGTGGTCGTGGTGGTGGAAGTAAAAGTGGAGATAATAAGGTTGAATGAGTTTGCAGCTTTGAAATTGAGCTTTCCCTGCCTTTTCTAGAACCAGGTCGCTGCAGTTGGTGGCCGAATCGCTGGAGGACCATGTTGGCCGGCAGGGAGTATGCTGGGGGAGGAATCGTTGCTGTTTCCAACTCTTCTTCCTGATTCTGTTGTTGTTTGGATTCAGCGGAGAGAGCTGCTGTCGATTCGGTGGATTCAGCAGCAGCAGCAGATCTTTTTGCTCCTTTAGCAGCAGCAGCTAGGGCGTAGCACTGCTCCAGGGCGGCTTTTACCTGACTTTCAGTCAGATGTTGTGCCGATTCGAAATGGTTGTTGTTGTTAACGTTGTTGACGTTGGTGTTGGTGGTGTAAAAGTACTTGGAGTGCGGCAGGCGGATGCAGGACTCGGAGAGAAGGTCGCCCAGGTGGTCTGAGGAGAGAAGAAGAGATCCGGAATAAATGGACTTTGAGGCGTTTTCCTTCAGCAGACTGGCCACCACCTTCTCCAGAAGTTGGCTGTAGTCGGCTGGTGACTGTTGTTGTGGATCGTTGTTTACTGCTGCTGCCTCTGGATCGATGTTTCTCTCCACTTTTCCACCTGGTGACTTTTGAGCCTCATTTTGAAGCACTGGTTGACTTTGATCCGATATCTTTGAGGATTCAAAGAACCTTTCTGTGTTCAAAGGAGTTGCTCTTGTTTTGGTGGTTGTGACAGTTTTGGGCGGAGGCAAAGGCACCAGCAGCGGCGCCGCCGGCACGGCGTTCACCTCGATGACAATGTTCAGCGGCGTGGCACTTGAGTGGTTATAGTCGTCGGCATCGGCATCGGCAGAGGAGTCAGAGTCGAAATCGAAATCGAACTGGTCACCACCGCCACAACAAGAACAACAACAGCAACAACTTCGAAAACACCTTCTACTTTTCCTGCTGCAAAACACTTTCCAGCAGAGCAGCACCACCGAGGCGATCAAGGCGCCGAGAAAGAGCAGGAGGAGGAGGAGAAAAGCGGCACAGTGCTGGTTGGCGTGGATGAAGACATTGGTCAGCAGGTGACAGGCGCTGAAGAAGGTGGCCGTCTCGTTGGTCGACTGGCAGACGATCAGGCTGAAGAAGGCGAGCTGAGACTGTGGTGGTGGTGCTTTGCTTCCGCCAACATCATCGACACTGTCCATCNCTGAAGAAGGTGGCCGTCTCGTTGGTCGACTGGCAGACGATCAGGCTGAAGAAGGCGAGCTGAGACTGTGGTGGTGGTGCTTTGCTTCCGCCGCCATCATCCTCGACACTGTCCATTATTGCCTGTCGGGAGCTTATTCGCAGGTCCTCCACCGTGAAGATCGTCCAGAAGTCGGTGGTGAGGAGAACTTCGGTGGGCGAGACACCTTCGCTGTCAATTCCCTTATCATCTTGGCTCTGGTGAGGGTGGTGGTGGTGGTGATGGGAATCATAAGCCACTGGGCCGGGCATGTCGGGCATAGCCGCCGGATGAAGGTGAGATCTAATGCTGTTGTCTTGCTGATGTTTTTGTTGCAGGGACTTCAAAAGAAGTGCTGTTGAGTTGTGGTTGAAATTTGCTGGGAGAAAGCTGCTGTTGCTGCTGCTGCTGATAATGGAGTTGTTGGTGGTGGTGCTGATGATGGAATTTCTCGCAGAGAGAAGCTCGATCCAGTGCTCCTCGAAGAACATCATCTTTCAAGAAGAGGAGGTGTGTTTTCCAGTGGTGACTGCCAGCACAAAGAAGTCTTTCGAGCTGGAAGACGTGGTATTTGAAGCTGCTTTGGTTTTCGATTTTCGCCCAAAATAGGAACTTTTTTCCTTGTTTTATTCTACTTTCGCTAAACCTAAATCGACTTACTCGGACTTGACCATCAGCAGCAGCAAGAGAGTCGGAAAATCGTTTCAAAAAATGTCCTATCAAAACAAAAATTAAAATAAAACACTTGCTCAATTCCAAACAGTTGAACAGCTGTTTTTTGCTGTGAAAAAATAATAATGTCACCAGTATATTACCGATTATTTAAAAGTGGGCGTCGCTGCCCTTCTCAGCTGCTGCTGCTACTGACAATAAAAAAGCAGTCCTGGTTGAAAACAAACAAACAAACAACCCNAAAAATAATAATGTCACCAGTATATTACCGATTATTTAAAAGTGGGCGTCTCTGCCCTTCTCAGCTGCTGCTGCTACTGACAATAAAAAAGCAGTCCTGGTTGAAAACAAACAAACAAACAAAAAAGAAGGCATCAAAATCAAAGCAAAAAACAGAGGAAGAGAAGAAAAAAGGCCTCAGTTTTGATCATTTGTGCTTGAGCTTGCTGCGAGCCGTCGCCCGGTTGCTGACCGCATTGTGGGCGCTCTTCTTCGCCGATCGACCACCACCAGCTGGTGAGGGGGCGGCAGTGCCTCGACTGCGCTTCGTGGAGCCAGCGGAAGGGCCTCGCTTTAGGGAGCCACCGCCCTGCTGCGAGGCGCCCAACTTTGAGCGGCGAGTTTTGCCGCCTGCAGCCTTCAGGCTGGTTGCCCGGCGCTTGCTGAGCTTTCGACCTGGGGAGAGGCCTCCTCGAGAGCGCTTCGACAGGCTGGAGGCCCTCTTGGAGAGGTTCCGGGGGCTGACCAGGCCGGTGGAGCGGCGGCTGACGCCTCCCTGGGGGAAGGGAAACAGGGGCGAGGGCTCCCTCTTTCCGCCCTTTTTGCCCTTCTTTCGCTTTCGACGAGCCAACGCCTGCCGGGCCAGACAGAGCAGCACGCAGAGGCAGCAGATGAGGAGGATGAGCACCAGGGCGATGATCAGGCCGAGGACGAGGGCTTTCTCTGGTGGTAGTGGAGAAAAAATGTTAAAAAGTTAAATAAAAAACACCGAATATTTTTTGCCTTACTCTTCTTAGGGTCCGAGCGCGGATGCGGATTGACCTTGCACTGGATGAAGCTGTCGTAGGGGATCTTCTCGAACTTCGACGGCGCCGACTTGGTGTACGCATCCTCGGGCACACTGACCACCGAGTCGTTGCCGAAGAAGTAGAACTGCCCATTGTCGATGAAACCGGTGAAGACGGGCCAGTGGACGTAGTCGCACTGCTCGCCCACCTTGCCCACGTGCACCGACGTCCCGCCCGGGTCCTTGCAGAGTGGTCGAAAATCGGGGTCCGGGGTGACGTTGCAGCGGTTACCGGGCTGCACCTCGCCGCAGCTGTTCGCCTGGGACATGCGCGTCACCATGTCGCCGGGGCCTGTTAACTGACCAGGGTCATCACGTTTACAGGCCGAGTACTGGACGATCTGCAGGTGACCGGGCTGGTCGGTGATGGTGTAGAACTTGGCGATGCCGCTGAGGGGAGGAGAGAGAGAGAGAGAGAGAGAGAGAGAGAAAATGTGTTATGAAATGGTAAGTTTAAAAGGAGAAAGAGAAAGCCACCTACTTGCTGCTGAGAAACTTGGTCTTATCGTCGCGGTGGATGTTCATGAAGCCCCAGCTGGAGCGCTGCCGGTTGATGTCCCAGCGCATGCCGGAGGTGTTCCGCCGCCAGGTGCCATCGAGGAAGAGCCACTCCGCATCAGGGTCGATCATCACCCGACAGGTAGGAATGTCCCCCTTGATCTCCTTGTAGCGGCTGTCCTGTGCCAGCTTAGGCCACTTTGTCTCAATTGGAACCGGCGGCTGGTCGCCAAAGTACAGCTGGTTGATGGTGTTGTTCATGGAGGGCTGGCCGAGGGAGGTGTCGTCCAGCTGCCAGACTTTCATCTCCGTGGTCACCACGAGAAGGCCCGCTTTTAGANCGGTGGTCACCACGAGGAGGCCCGCTTTTAGGCGGCCGATGCACTTGATCTGCTCCACGCCCTTGATGTTGTTCTTTCGGGCGATCGTGTCGCAGGGGTTCTTGTCCTTGTGTTGGATTAGAAAATGAGGTTAGAAGGTGATAAGCAGACAGCTGAACAAGCAGTACCGCAGCAGCAACAACCAGGAACAGTCCAGCGAAAATGAGGAAGGCGGAGAGCAAACGTTTTCTGAAGAAAACGCCAC